AAAACCAACTTAGGAAAGCAGCCTTTCTATACCCCACCAACAATCAGGCTAAGTAAAGCTCATGGACACAATCCCATTTATAATAGCCTCAAAGACAATAAAATGTTGTGAAAAAAATCTAACCAAGAAACCCTGTTTCAAAAAAACAAAACAAAAACAACAAACAACAAATAAACCCAAAACTAACCCAAAGAGGTGAAAGACCTCTACAAAAAAAAATTTGAGAAAGACACTAGAAAATGGAAAGACATTCCACATTCATAGACTGGTAGAATATTGTGAAAATAACCATCCCACCAAAAGCAATTTACAGGATCAATACAATCCAATAAAAATACTTAGAATATTCTTCACAATTAGGAAAGAAAATCCTAAAATCTATGGAATCATAATAGATCCCAGACAGCCAAAGCAAAACAGAGCAAAAGGAACAATATTTGATGGCTTGCTATTCCAGACTCCAAGATATATTATAGATCTATAGGAATAAAAACAACACGGAACCAGCACAAAACAGACATGTGAACCAATGGAATCAAAGAGAAGACTCACCTTATGAGCACACATAATTATAGGCATTTGATATTTGACAAAGATGCTAAAAACATACACTGAAGAAAAGATAGTATCTTCAACAAATGGTGCTGGGAAAACTAGGTGTCTACATGCTGCAGAATGTAATTAGACCCATAGCTATCACCCTGCACAAAAATTAATTCCAAGTAGATCAAAGACTTCAATTTGCAACCTGAAATGCTAGAACTGCTAGAAGAAAATATATGCAGTTATCCTACAAAATATAGGTGTAGAAAAGGAACTTCTGAATAGGATTCCTTTTGCTCAGGAATTCATGTCAACAATTGACAAGTGGGACCTCATAAAACTACAAAGCTTCTGTACAGCAAAGGAAACAAACAAGCCCACTTTTGCCAGCAATACATCTGAGTATTAACATTCAGAATAAGCAAAGAACTAAAACAAAACACTCCAAACAAACAAAAACCCAGCAAACAAACAAACAACTAAGTCTAGAAAACAAATGTCCTAATTACAAACAGGTAGGGATCTGAACAGAGTTCCTAATAGAAGAAATGAAAGCGGCCACGAAATATCTCAAAATATATTCATTATCTTTAGCAATTAGGGAAATGCAAGTTAAAATAACTTTAAGATTTCATCTCACCCCAGTCAGAATGGTTAAGAACAACAAAACAATTGACAACAAATGCTTGTGAGAATTTGGGAAAACGGAATCCTCATTCATTGATAGAAATGCAATCTAGTGCAGCCACTCTGGAAATGACTGGTACAGATAACCCTCAAAAAGCTAAAGATAAATCCACCATGTCACCCAGCTATTAACACTTGTCACCATATGCCCAAAGGACTTGACATCCTACTCCACAGATACTTGCTCCACAATGTTCACTGATGCCCTATTCACAGTATCAATGGAAACAACCTAACTATACTTCAACAGATGAATGGATAATGAAATGTGGTACATATACACTACTGAATTCTATTCAACTGTAAAGAAAAATGAAATCATGAACTTAGCAGGTAAATGGATCAAACTAGAAAATATGATATTGAGTGAGGTAACCTAGACCCAGAAAGACAAAAGCTGTATGTTCTCTTTCATCTGCAGTTCCTACCTCAAAATCCTCAGATGTGAGTACACAACATGGAGTAACCAGGAATTATAAAGGGATGAGAAGAGAATAACAGGCTGCAGGTGATATGAAAGGGGAAATGGGAAAAATGGGGAGGAAGGACTTCAATACAGAAGGAGAAGGAGTGATGGAGTAAGGACAAATAACACCACAGTAGTTTAATAAAGGCTCAAGGAATCACATTATTTTAGATTTATTTAAAATTATATTTGACACATCCATCCATCCATCCATCCATCCATCCATCCATCCATCCATCCATCCATCCATCCAGACTTATCTAAATATACACATACATATATAGCTTAACTGAAGTTATAGCTCTTGGGCCAACAATGCTCACAGAAAGATCCACAGACTATCTAGCAAAACCCCAGTACCTGGCATGAGAAACTTGTCTGAGTTGTTGGTCAGTGGGGTTCAAGAGATGCCTAAATGATATAGGCTATTGATGTTACCCTTGGTTGCTTCTCAATGCTTCAAATAGTGATGGCAACTCACTATTTTTGATGACACCTTACACTTAGGACACAAGACTAGGAAGTTTCAAGCTGGATCTAACCTGAACGCCTCCTTTCCTATGGTTTAGCTTCCACAGTACTTTGGAAAGCTTCCAAGAGAGGGAAGCTATCAACAGTCCTATCCAGCCACATGATACGTATGAACCATAATAACCAGCATGGTAAGAGACCCCTAAATGTGCAAAAATGGTACTTATATGTTGGCAGTAACCAGCAGCTATCTAACTAGACCTAAGACTTGCTAACGGAAGGAAATCATGCTTGGTACTAGAAACCTAGCCAACTATCCAGGACTAGTGAGGTCATGGATCTTAGAAGAGAACTTATTATTACCACTTTACTAGACCAGTACAATCCTAATTACATTCTCAAACCTATTCTTCTCACCCCTCATCAAAGAAGCCTCTCTTCACAGCAAATGGAGCGCATCCCAGAAAATCACAACTAGTCATAACTCAGAGATCAATAGATCATGAGGTGCTTAGCTCCAACAGATACATCTATAACACAACCCCTGCCCTATGGTTCAAGGAACATTATGGAAGTTAGGGTTAGAAAGACTATAAGAACTGGACAACCAGAAAGTCTGCTGTGAGATTATGTCTCTTAGATATGACAGGGAAGCTATAACCATGAAACCTGAATACTATGGTAGCCTGAATACAACCTAAATAATACCTGTATCAAGTTATATTAATGCCAAAGGTTGACATCTCATGGGGTCCTGCCCCCAGACAAAGAATTACAGGCAACTAATGACTGCTGAGAGTTAGCCAATACAAAATGGTCAGCTATGAAATTATATATACACAAGCAACCAAAATGGATTCAGCATTCTGTATTTATTTATGTATTTATACATGCAACAATAATAAAGAGGCTATCAATTTGTGATAGCATAGGGGGCACAGGAGGAATTGGAGAGGACACAGAAGGCTGGAGGGAGGAAAGTGGGAAAATGATATAATATTTTAATTTAAAAAAAAGAAAAGCTGAAAAACTGTGGGCAAGACACAAAGAATGGGAAAATTAGAAAGCCACCATTTTGTCACTCTTTAATTAAATAAGGAATCTAAGCAATAATCAATGACTATCTGAAAACAAAAGAGTCTTCTCTCCAAATCTTAGTGAGTGTAAGGAATGACATGGTACACAATAGTATACTCTGGCCACTGGATTTTGGGCAAGTGATTTGCTCATGCAATAGTTTCATCTCTCAAGTGGAGATGACCTTTGTGTTGGACAATCTATGGGGAGGAGGCTTTCTTTCCTTCCTCTGTCTGTGTCCCAGGGACAGAACTCAGGACTCCAGGCTCACTGGCAGTTACCTTTACCTATTGAGCTACCTTGCTAGTTCAGCTTGTCATGTTAAAAGAGCAATAGTTACAAAATGCTTAAGACAATATGACAGCATTGATTATTGGTAATAATACCACTTTTTAAAAGTTAATTCCAAAGCAATGGCTATCGTAGGCAAGTAATGACAAAGAAGGGCCAGGGGTTTTCAAAAAGAAACACTTGTTCTGTATAATATTATTGGGTTCAAAAGTTTTAGTATCAGTCATATTTTATAGCAGTATTCATTCACACCACTGTATAATGTCTTGTTAAACAGAAAAGTATTTATCACATGATACTGCCTTACTCAGGTACATATGATTTTCTTACCTTATCCAAAAGGTGTATTATCATTGGTACAAGATTGGCATCAATTACTGCCTGAACCTGCTGCTGATTTCCTGCGGTAATGTTGGAGAGGAACCACACTGCTTCCTGTGGAACAAGATGCTTTCAATATTTCTCACTAAAAAATGAAAACTGTGTCTGAACTATGAAAAAGTATTCACTGGCTAGTGTCCCAATTATTTTATTACCAAATGAGTTCTATAACAAAAATCTTAGAGATTTCAATTCTACTACCCCTTTTCTGGTTAAGGGAAAAAAAAAATCTTTATTTGATTAAAAGCCGTTATCTTTTTTTTTTTTTTTTTTTTTTTTTAAGAAAAGGTCTCATTGTGTAGCCCTGGCTGACCTGGAACTCCTAGAGATCTACCTGCCACCTGCCTCTGTTCCCAAGTGCTGTAATTAAAGGTGTGTGCTGCCATGCCTAGCCCTACACACTTAATTTTCTGTATAACAATATATACTCATTAAATAATACTTTTCTACATTTTCTTTGGATAAATCATTATTGGCTTCTAATTCAAGTCACAATGAGCTAAGTCTTGTAAGTTTTTTTTTACAGGCAATGCTGTTTGGGAACGGTATGACTCAAAAGAAGGTTGGCTGACAAATACCAAGGAAGATGTCATAAACTAAAAATCCTAAAACTATTGCAAATGAGACTCAACACCCTTTTCTCAAAAAATGTGCTTTATTCTACTCTCTCTAGTCTACCTTAACAATCCTATCCCAGTAAATAAATCTCAATTAGGCATGACAATGAAGACCATCAAAAATGCAAGTGAGTTCTTTTAGTGTCCTTATTTATAACAGTCATTCACTGTCCCAGTTCTCTCAAGAGCAAAATGTAGAACCAGTTGTTGGTTTGCTTGACTGGTCTATTTTAATGACCTCTGAATGCTGCCCTCAACACCACAAAGATGCTATACTATTACTAGGATGATAGCGATCACAGTATTTCACAAGTTTCAAAGATCATAAATGCATTACTAAAATCAGAGTTAGCAATAAACAACAACAAAATATTTAACATCCCATGGAGGATATTATTAGAATTTACCAAACTTAAATTCACCAATTTACTAATTAGTATTGCAAACATCAGCATAATTAGACTCTTTTGGATCAGATCACAGGACATTTAAGGAGCCTGTTAGAGATTTTAGGGTGCTGGGCTACTTAGGTGAGCTGTTTTGGGGTTATAATCATCGGCAATATTGTAATCAACAACCCAAGTTATTTCTACAACAGCCTCAGATGCACTCCAATATCAGCATCACCATTCAGTGCCCCCTTTCATAGCCACCACACACACGCACACATGCATGCACACACTCATACCATTAAGTATAAATGAAACATTAAACTAAGAGAACTAGTATATACATTAAAAATTTCCATTCATGGCAACATTCAACACCCAAGTATCTCTATTTCATCATTTCCAAGAGAGTCAAAATGTAGTTTGTTGGTGATGGTATAACACAGTGATAGAGCATGCATGTCAAAGGCTCTGGGTTTGAATCCAGAACCCCAAGAGCATCTTATAAAGAGTGAGATATTTTCTCTTGAAGCCTTTAACAGCATATACTAAAAGTCAACTTATAAAGACATTCCTTAGACCTAATCCCACAAACAACAACTACCATTTTATTCAAATTTTTTGAAAGACTCACTTTATTGATTTTCTCTTTGGGATGAGTGAGGAGTGCTGGGAAGTGTGAAAGAGCATCACAGTTTAAAACTACTTGTGTTTGCTCATCAGTTCCAGTGACAATGTTGCCCACAGCTCGAAGTGCAGCAGTCTGAAACGGAAGATTCAAGGAGATGTTCAATGTTAAGTACTCTTATCAACCAGTGGCAAGCAACTTGAGACAGATTCGTTCCTCATGCAAATCTTTTACTGCAACTAACCTATCCCTTTTGAACACTTATTCTATGTCAAGTAATGATCTAGGAACAACAGTGGAAATATGAAATATATAAATCCCAGGCCTTTTGTAGCTTAAGTTGTTTCAAGAGAATTGATATCAATAAAAGGGCAATTTTAGATAGTAATAACTACTATAAAGAAAATAAGTAATTTTCATTTTCTGTTAATTTTTCTCCCTATAAGATAAATGATTGATCTGTTTAAACATACAAACTTATTCTTTCAAGAACAGGCAATTTAGTACTTACTAGAGTGTTCCAAGGTGCACAACCAATATTAACATCAAATTACAAACATTTTTTTTTTTTTTTTGGTTTTTCGAGACAGGGTTTCTCTGTGTAGCTTTGCGCCTTTCCTGGATCTCGCGCTGTAGACCAGGCTGGCCTCGAACTCACAGAGATCCGCCTGCCTCTGCCTCCCGAGTGCTGGGATTAAAGGCGTGCGCCACCACCGCCCGGCTAAATTACAAACATTTTTATATAACACATGCATCTATTAACTGTCATTAACATTGTCTTCAATCCCCAGTCCCTGGCCACCACCATCCCTGTGTCTACTAATCTGTTTATTCTGCACATTTCATATAAACAGAAACAAGTTCATGTCATGGCACCCAGTGATACTTATTCCTTTTTGTGGCCAAATAATAATCTGCTATGTGGTTAGCAACAGATGACTTCCATTTTGGGGTTATCATGAATAATGCTCTAACACACTGTATTCAAGGTTCTGTGGACGGACACCCAGGACAGTAGAAACGTTAGGTCACAATGCACTCCGCACTCACTTTTAAGGACACCCCACTCCAGTGCTGTCATCAGCGTGTAACCCCCTTTTCGGCACTGTTGCTTCTGAATGTGAATGACTTTCCAATTCAACTCCCATTTCTTTAATGACTAATGTTTTTGAACATTTTTTTTTTAGGCGCTCACCGACCATTTGTATGTCTTCCTTGGAAAACTGCAAATCTCTTATTCATTTTTTGTTCATTTGTTTTTATAATGGGTGTGGTGTTTTGCTTGCATGTAGGTCTGTGTACCATACATATGCCGGGTATCTGAGGAGGTCAGAAGAAGGTGTAGGATCCTCTGGAACTGGAGCTACAAATGATTGTGAGCTGCCACACAAGTGCTCAGAACTAAACCTGGGTCCTCTGGAAGAGCAGCTAGTGCTCTCAGCTGCTGAGCTGTCTCCCCAGCCCTGTTTTTAAAATGTCTTAATTTTTGAAGATGTTATAAGATAGACAAAACAATATGCTACATGAGATTATGTCGAAATTTTAGGGGGAGTAGGGATATAGATGAAGTCCACATGGGAACTGGCCACACTATCTTGTTTTCAAGAATTATGACATGAGAGCCAGGCAGTAGTGGCGCACGCCTTTAATCCCAGCTCTCTGGAGGCGGATCTCTGTGAGTTCAAGGCCAGCCTGGGCTACAGAGTGAATTCCAGGAAAGGCACAAACCTACACAGAGAAACCCTGTCTCGAAAAACCAAAAAAGAAAGAAAGAAAGAAAAAGAATTATGACATGAAAGTTGAAAAGCTTAAAAAAATATCTGTTAGTTATCTGATAAAGTATAAGACATTAACTTTCTCTAAGGACTTACTAAAAGAAAACTCCAAGCCCTCTACTCTCAAGCCACAATTCTAAAGCCAGTATTAAAACTAAAGAAGTACTCTGCTTGATTTTTTTTTTTGGGTGTGTGTGTGTGTGTGTGTGTGTGTGTGTGTGTGTGTGTGTGTGTGTGTGTGTGTATACGTAAGTGCAGGGTTTCATGTAGCCAAGGCTAGCTGTGTGGTCTTCCTACTACCTCCTCCTTGAAAGTGCTGGGAATCACAGGACTGTGCCGAGTGTGAAGTAAAAATAAAAAACCAACAAAATTACCTAATGTAAATTTGGGGTTGGGTGATGGCTCAGTAGGTGAGAACTCTTGCTAAATCAAATCCCCAGAAACCTTGTTAAAAAGCCAGTTGAGTTCATGTGTTCACCTGTAACCCTAGTACAGTGGGGATGGAGACAGGACACCCAATGTCCCTCTGGCTTCTGGGTGCAGACTTGCTGCACACACACACACGTGTACAAAACACACACACAGATGCAAATTTAATAATAATACATGTGCCAGGCGGTGGCGCACGCCTTTAATCCCAGCACCTGGGAGGCAGAGGCAGGCGGATCTCTCTGTGAGTTCAAGGCCAACCCTGTCTACAGATAGGTCCAGGATAGGCTCCAAAAGCTACACAGAGAAACCCTGTCTCTAAACACACACACACCCAAAAGATATTTATAATAAACACACATTTCTTTAAAAAAAATTACTGTTGGACAAATCTTTTTTTAAAACAGTGTTTCAATTTGAAAAAGAAACCCTTCTTATTTTTATTTAGTTTGTGGATGCATGTCCACAAGCTTGAGAGATCAATGTTAGGTGTTTTCCTCTACTGCTTGCCACTCCCCCCCACCCCCTTTTTAGCCAAAGTCTCTCACTGAACCTGGAGCTCCCTGGCTACAAGATCTTCCCCCACCTCTCCAGTGCTGGGATTACAGGACAAACGGCCCCATCAGCATTCCTCTGAGTGCTGAGGATCTGAACTCAGGTCCTCATGCCTGCACCTTACCCAGTGAGCCATCTTTCAAGCACTTTTTGATTTTAAGTCAGTGGATCTCCATTGTTAATACATACCAGTACCACTTCAAGAGCCAGCTTAAGTTTGTAGGAAATAGAATGGTTTTACTCAATTTCTAGGCGCTAAGGAAGGGAAATTTTCAAAAAGAAAAAAAATTTTTTCTTTAAGCCTCATGGTTGATTCCAATGTCCAGCTAAGGGCAAGAAAAAGGAACTTAGTCGAACAGCTTTCCTTATCTAATTGCACTGTAGATTCTAGGCCATTATAGGATTAAAACTCACTATTTACCTTAGAAAGGTGGTGGGGGCTTGCTTTACCTCCTTGACCACTGCAATGGGACGTCACTCTGTGTGTGTGTGTGTGTGTGTGTGTGTGTGTGTGGTACAGAGGCTGGACTGCAATGGGACATCACTGTGTGCGTGTGTGCGTGTGTGTGTGTGTGTGTGTGTGTGTGTGTGTGTGTGTGTGTGTGTGTGTGTGTGTGTGTGGTACAGAGGCTGAACTGCAATGGGACGTCACTCTGTGCGTGTGTGTGGGGGGATACAGAGGCTGGACTCGGCACAAGTGAGCAAGCGCTGGACATCTGAGCTATAGCTTCAGCTCTAGCTCTAATTTTCCCCGCTTGTCATAGATGGAGGCTCCCTGAGATAAAGAGTATGTGAAAGAACTTCAAAATAACAAAACAAGAAAACAGAGATAACCAGGAAGTCCTTAAACCACACATTGCAGTTCAAATCCTTTATCTCAGAATCAGTACATCAGTGTTAACCAAACTTGTCAGATGAGTAAAAATGGATGCTTTCAGAGTGTGTGTGTGTGTGTGTGTGTGTGTGTGTGTGTGTGTGTGTATAAAAAGCAGGGGACAGAGAAGGGTGGAAAAAGCAAACAAGAATGGTTTCAGATGCCACCCAAGGCGCTACACTAAAACATGCTTCACTATATTAGAAAACAGCTCTTCACAATAGAGTCTTCCTGTTTGGCAGGGTAAGGAAGGTTCTTAATGAACTGGAGTGTTGTTATCTCATTTTTTCTACTTTAAAATTAGGGTAAAATAACTCACCTTTCCACATCAAAGATACATTACATTGTTGGGTGAAAAATATGCCTTACATTTTGAAATTGTTAATCTTTGGATGTCATGCTTAAATCAATTAGTGGTGAGAAAACCCCTCTTAATCAAAATGAACTTACTTGAACTTTAACCTCCTGGTGGCTGAGTAGAGGAACCAAATGAGGAACTATTCCGGAGTCTATTACCATCTGTATCTGTTCATTGCCAGCATCCGTAAGGTAGGAGAGGGCCCAGACAGTATCTACCAATATCTAATAAGTAAAATAAAAGTTCAAATCTTCAAATATTTTCTCAATAATTCTTTTCTTTTGGGGGTAGGGTTTCAAGACAGGGTTTCTCTATATAGCTCTAACTGTCCTGGAACTTGCTCTGTAGACCAGGCTGGCCTCAAACTTAAGAGACCTACCTGCCGCTGTCTCCCAAGTGCTGGGATTAAAGGTATGTGTCACCATTTGGCCATTTTAATAATTCTTAACCATACAATCAATCTGAAATCTTTCTCATCTTGCTTCAACTCACTAGAACATCAATCTCTATTCTGTATCTTTCACTATATTTTGGATGTATAAATTAATTATGGTTCTAATCTCAGATCAGTATCTAATCTTATTTCAGCAAAATACACATGCAAACTACATAACACATTAAATAGAAAATCAACAAACCAACCAACAACAACAACAAATATGAAACACTCAACATTTTTTGTCAGATGTTCACAATGCAATATGATAGGTCCAAGGACATTGTAGGTAATATATATAGTTAGAAACAAATATACACACACACCCATCCAACATGCACAGTGGTTTA